GAATTAAAGTCCTTTTAATGTTGTTTGATTTGTAAAAGGAAGTCGTGGAAATGAGACGTATTTACTGTGTTCACCATACAAAGGATGGCAGGTACCATGTCACAGTGTATTAATACAATGTCAACCGTGCGCTGCCTTCTATCCTCTATGCACCAGTCAATCAACGCCATGCAGAGGATGCTTTTTTTTCTCTCTTTCTCTGCTGACATTTGAGGTCATAACTGAAATGAGCTGTGCAGTTACATTTTAATACAAGTGAGTCTGTAGTGGAGATCAGCAAAATGTTCTTGAATTTGTTTTCTTTCTGTTAAAAATACACTGGACAGCCGGCAGATCGGAGGTTAGTGTGATGCCCTAAAATGGGTAAGGGTAGGTGGGATTCACACAGGATCTCAAATCCCCTGATTTATGTAGATGATCTAGTTTACAATCAATTTAGGCTTCTGCTCTGGTTTAGCCCAGAACAGAACTACTGCATTTCAACAATGAATTCAGGGATGCTTTCTGTGAGAAGATACGGTGGTTAGCAAGGGCAGAAATTCCATCATCATGGGTTGGGAGGATAATATCCAGCACTCTGGCTCAAGAGAGTCAACATTGCAACATTGATATCCCCTATTTTATTTTATCCAAGCACTTACCGTGCATAGTAATTTTTGTAATTTATGCCCTGCGTTGTCAAACATTGTTACTGCTGCATCACCAATAAACACAGAAATATAAGGCAGCCAGGAGCATATCACCTTTCTGTCTTTGTTTAAGTGAAAGTAAACAAAGCGACAGGGGCTAACGCAGTTGCTAGTTACAAAATGGAAAACAGTTCCATTCTCAGTCTCTGTCATTATCCCTTATGTTGACAAGCAAAAGATTCAGAATGACATTTAAGCAGGTTGAAAATCAGTCTACAAATTGTTATAAATCCAATGTTAGCTTACGGATACTGCAGTGATTTTTATTCCAGTTTTATTAGTCTTATTTGTATGCATATCGAGCCCCACTATCAGACCTTTTGTACCGTATCTATTTCAGCTGATGAAAGAGTGTCAGACATGCCTGTACACCACCTTATACATATTTATGAATCATCACATCAATGACAGCCAATCAGTGATGACTGTTCAGAGCATTTAAAGCATAATAACTCTAGCTGGAGTTCTGTATGCAAAATCTTATCTGTCGTGCTGTGTACTTGGCACAAAAATTGACTTTCTTCAATCAGATACTGCAGCTAAAGTATAAGATGCATAATTAACCATCTAAAAGGTTTATAGAAACATCTGCACACCTTATTAAAAATGTGACAACAGCAGAATTGTTTTTTTTTATCATACCAAGGAATGCTTCTGACAGTGTAATGCTGCAGTATATGTGTTCTGTACTTTGACATTCTGTTGTACATTTATAGACGTCAGAATTTAAAGGGCAATGGAATCTTATTTTAGCAAATGAAAAATTCTAATAGCTTATTGATGAACAGAATTGTCTGGCTCTGAACTCTCCACAGCTGAATAGTGATGTGGAGAAATGCAATTCATAACATAGTATTTCTAGCACAAGTATAGCAACATGGCAGCTGCTTTCTGCTTGCTTGGATTGTGAACAAGTTTCTCATGAAATGGTCCAACACTGGATCCATTATCCAATGTTATGGGTACCACACGACTGTTACATTTAAGCAGCAACTTGTCATGTATCCTGCCATGAACTGGAGGCCGTAAATCCCTGTGATCTTAGTCTTAATACCATTGTTTTAAAGTTATCATTGTGTAGAATTGTGGAAAATTCTTAAATTCAGACTTGATTTAGAAGCCTGTTTTCCGCATTTCTTGTTAAGAAGAGTGGCAAACTGGCTTTGAATTTAGATTAAAGAATTTAAAGATTTTCTAAAATTCGGCACAATCTTAATTTTTCAGACAGCGGTCTTCAGGCTATGATCTTGAGTAATTTTGAGCCTTTGGCTTTATTAAAAATACCAATCCACTGGTAGGTCAACAGCAAGTTGAAAGATTGACTGCCACAGTAGGTTGTACTTTTATATTTGGGATGAGGAGTTGAATCTAGCTCAGACTGACGAGATCAAATTTTTCCTTCTCTACCCATTACTTGATGTTAATTTTCCATTTTATTCAAAGACATCAAAGGAATGCCAGTGGGAGAAATGGAAATGCCAGTGGTGCAATTAAGGTGTGCCTCTGATATTGCACTAACATTTGTTATGAGGTAGTTCAAAGTGATCTTTATGTATTGCACCTAATCTGTAATTTATTGATGCTGGGTGTAATACATGTTCCAATCCCATCAATGGCATCAGTTATCTTTAGAGTGACCAATTCATCAAATTTAAATACATTTAAATTGATTTAGTATGTTATGACTTTGAAACATCTCAAGCCACTTCACAGAGTTTTACTGTAAAGTATGTTTACTGTCTAGGTGATTCTAGCAGTCAATTTCTGGCCAACAAATTGATGAGCTAATTATTTTAGCTCATCACAACTGCTCTTGGCTCATAACGGTAGACTTTATTAGATGTAATAATAGTAATCCTTGCATTTCATATAACGCCTTATCGCGTCTTTGAGATGTCTCAAAGCCCTTCACAGAATATACTGTAAAGTGAATTAATTGACTGTATATTTTGTGAGTGAAATGTGGCAGCCAATTGTGCACAGCAGTGTCCCACAAACAGTCGTGGATTGAGTGACCAATTTATTAGTTTTTTTTGTAAAGGAATTATTACCCCCAGAAAAGTGATCTGTCAATCGACTAACAATCAGGTTCCTACTTACTGCTAGGTAAACAGAGGCGTGTGGAGTAAGGAAACTTGCCCAAGGTTTCGCCCTGCCAGGAATTGAACCCAGGTCTCTCGCTTGCGAGACGAGTGCTCTAACCACTGAGCTACGGTTATAGGAAAATGTGGAACATGAATTGTAAAGGTTTCAGATGTCTCCAAATGAAGGAGCCCCTGGTCATTCTATTTGAGATAAGTTGATTAGATATGGAACAATAAGTAACAAATGGAGATATGTGGTTAGTAATAATAATAATAATCCTTGCATTTGATATAGTGCCTTATTTTATAGTTATGTGGATAGTAAATGATATATGTTTTGCAGCAAGGTTAACCTCTGCTTTTGAAACTTTGTTAGGTGTGAAAACCCAATTGTTGGGTTGAGACATGACAGTCCTTTTTGATGTGGTGGTGATAGAAGCCTGGGAGATCAATAGCTGGGGAGACAGAGACCAACCGCAAAAGGGTTTTGTGAAAGAGGGAGAACTCCTGTCTTTGAATTGACTGTTCTTATAATTTGGTATCTGTGTAATAGTGTAACTGTGTTGTCTATTAAATCTTAGGGAAATCCAACTATGATATCTGTCGTCATAATTACAGACACTTCTGAACTGATTAGAACAATTATCTGTACTCGTAAGAATATTACAAAATCCTGAGAGTGCTAACATCATGCACTACAGGCATCCGATCGAACACAAACTTACCCAGATTTGTGCAAACGTTTGGGGTAACGCTTTTTGGCGGCTCCCACAGTTTGGCCATCACTGAATCACTAAGTTAAATACAATATAAAATTACATTTGTGAAGTGCCTTTCACATCCGGAGGACAGCCAAGGCACCGAGGTGGGGGGATGGGATCAGGGAGATGGAGGACAAAGAGAGTAGAAGGGCGGCTGAAGGCATGGTAGAAGAGGAGGGTCTTGAGGCATGCCTTGAAGGAGGCAAGGGAAGGAGCAAGTTGAAGGGAGTGTGGGATGGAGTTCCAGAAGGGCAGAGAGGATGAAGGCCCACCACCGATGGTGGGGCGGGGTAGGCAGGGGACATGTAGCAGGTTGAAGCCTGCTGAGCAGAGGGAGCAGACAGGTTGATACGGGGTTAGCAGGTCAGAGAGGTAGGAGGGGGCAAGGCCTTGAAGGTGAGGAAGAGAATTTTGAACTCTTTTTGAATTTTGAATTTGAAATGGTATTACGGGCCCCTGAAATGTGTACATGAATCTGTTCCCCGGGTGAAATAAAATTTGTGAGTTCGCAAATCAATATGAATTAATCCCGCAAGTGTCTCATACTTTAAACGCTGGAATATCCACAGTTGAAATGTGTTTGTCCGGTAAACTAATTTGGAGGTAGCATTTGCATTTGGCAAAGCATTCATTTTTGGAAGCTCACATATTTATCTTGTCTCAGTATAAGCACCATTTTTTTCTATCAATTGAAAGTAACATTTTTCACGAGAGGTTCAGCTGAAAAATGCCCTTCGGCCCATTTGGTCTATAATAATAATAATAATCCTTGCATTTGATATAGCACTTTTCACATCTTCTAGACGTCTCAAAGCGCTTCACAGAATATACTGTAAAGTGAATTGATTGTATATTTGTGGGCGAAACGCAGCAGCCAATTGTGCACAGCAGTGTCCCACAAACAGTCATGGATTGAAGTGACCTATTTATTATTGGGTTTTTTTCTTGAGGGATTATTTATCAGGCATGTGGAGTAAGGAGACTTGCCCAAGATTTTGCCATGGCGGGAATCGAACCCAGGTGTCTCGCTCGCAAGGCGAGCGCTCTAACCACTGAGCTACAGGACCCCACTCTGGGCTCAGCTCTCCAGAATATCACCCATACCCTCTTCTCATTAAACTGTTTCTGATACGAATCCGATGAACTGGCTTCAACCACCCTTCCTTGTCACCTTATCACCTGTTAATTACCCTCGGTTTAAAGAAATACTTCTGATGTCAATCCTCCAATTCCCCCTCACATCCCTGATATGTAATTTCAGTGCCTTGGGACATCTATCTGACGTGAAAGGCACTATTGTCCTCATTGAAATAGGCCTTTAGTCTAAACCACTTCACATTCTGAACTCCATTAAGTCAATTAAGCACAGAATAAATGGTGAAAAATGAAGGGGGTTTAGTCTTTGACTGCTGCAAGACTATTTTCTGTTTGTGAGTACCATACTGTTGTGTTTCTGCCCCACACAGAGAGCCGTTTAATACTTGATGCCTTTGCACAGCAATGTAGTCGAGTCCTGACTCTCCTGAAGGACAATGGGAAACTACTGGATACCAGCCAGCCTCAAGTCATGTCCTGTGTGAAAAAAGAGGGTGGATGCTACGATGAGTGCACAGGGCACTGCCAGCTAGCCAAAGTTATCCCAAACGAGTCATGGACATCAAACAACCTGGAGATGGAATCACGTTACGCACAAAAAAGACACCAAACATCAGCCTTGCTCCGTGTGTTTACTGATTCCCTACAAAGTTACCTATTGGCTGGAGGACGGCCTTCACAGAGTACTGTAGGAATGAGCGAATATGGCCTTGTGACAGAAATGGATCCACATTCCACCTCTCCTACCCATACATTAGGTGGATGGACCTCCCCAGCAACATCTGAATCACATGGCCATCCATCATCCACACTTCCAGAGGAGGAAGAGGAAGATGGTTATTGTCAGAGGTGCCAGGAATTGGAACAGGAAGTAATTTCACTCCAACAAGAAAATGAGGAATTAAGGAGAACACTGGATATCGTTCCAGGTGTGTGAACGTTTAACCTGAAGGTTTTAATACTCTTTTGATTTTTGCCCCTAACGGTCACCTTTCATGTGAATATTGTATGATTTGGTGGAAACATTGGTATTGAACCATTCTACACAATTATGGAATTTGTAAACCTGGTTTCTAGTTAAAATTAAATATTACTAAACAAACATGATAACAAACCCCAGAATTCACAGCACAATTTGTTTACTTATAAAGTGATATTGCAGGACTCCTCCAATTGAGATTAGTGGATAAAGGAAGCACTCAGCATTAAACCATACAGGTAAGAAGGTTCGATGTACTAATCCTGGCCTGCACCGTACTGACTAACTTCAGTTAGAGCAGCAACTGGGACATTGTAATTGCCCTGAGCACCTCTGTGTTAAAAAATGAGAAAATCACCCAGGGAGCCTCCTGTTCTGAGGAATGAAATAAAGATCAATTACTTGACAAGCTCAGTAGGATGGTGACAAACGATGGGAGCCAGTTTGTTTACACCCAAAAGGCCTTAAGGCTATTTTCCATTCAAATTGAAGCAAATACAGAATTATGATAAATTGTTAAACTTCATACAGTGTTTGGAAGCCTATTGTTCACAGTTCTTTAAAAGAACTGGCTTCAAATTAAAGCTGAATTTAAGAGTTTTACACAAATTCTGTCCAATCTTAAATATTAAAGCAAAATAACCTTGCAGGCTAAGTATAAGGGAACTTTGGGCTTCAGATTGCTATACAGAGACCCCAAACTGGACAGTTGATACAATTCGTATGAACATGGATGTGAATCACACTCGGTTGTGATAATCAGCACTGCCCCTTGCAGTTAAATAGAATGCCAAAACACACCTTTTAGATTCATACAAGTTACCTCATTATTAAGTTGCTGAAAGTTTGATCTGATTCAAAGCAAGAATTCTTAACTAAGTAAAGGCTAATTATTCAACAAGCCCAATCACAGCATTGGGATTTTGTCTGCAGCTAATGAACCCGAGAAGCTTGTTGCTTCTCTTCCAAAAGGTTCAAGATAACTGGAGAATATTAAAATGTAGCCATTTATGTAGTTAAAAACCTTCAATGAATTGAGCAAGAGAGACTTCAAAAGCCACCATTGTGTACAATATATGTAGAACTCTTTGTTTAGCTTCCTAATGGCTGCTTTGTAGTCTTGTTTTAATCAGACCACATGCCTATTTATCTCCTGGAGTGTGCGATTCACACCTAAGATTCCTGGCCATCTGTTTTCACCTACACAAAAACACATTCCAATCTCTTTGAATAGTATATGTATACAGGCCAATTAACTATATATCAAGGCCGCCTGTGGTTAAATTATTTAAGACCAGCAAGCTCATAATCCCTGACATTTATATGTTTGTAGGTGGGTGTCACAGATGTGAGGAATTATACCTAATTTATATGCTGTAAGACTGTCGTGATCTATATTCTGAGAAGAGTTTTAGTAACTGGAAATGATTGACATACCAGGAGCAATCCCTATTTGCGACTATTTGAGACCATAACAGAAATCACAATGTTTTAGACCCTTTTTCATCTATTGACGTCAGCAAAGTGTAAAAGTTTTCCGGACAGCCAGATATTCTTTTAGGTAAAGATCTTTTGCTTTGCTGAAGGCTAGATAGGCTGGTGATTTACAATGAGGTTACGGGATACAGTTGTTACATCTACATACAGTGTATTATCGACCCAGGCAAAAAGAGACAATATTCTCCCATTTGTTTAGTGAATGCCATGGTCTATTCTGTTAAGATGCATACGATGACTGTGCTATATGCTTATTTGCATTGGTTTTCTTTCATACAGTGCCCTGCCAGACTGTTCTTGATTATTACAAGACTGTACTCCAGCATCACAACCAACTTGTTCAACCAGTCCCAGATGAGCAGCCAACAGAGGTACTTTTGGGTGGAATATGGTCTCCTGCATTGAGTTCTTCCATGCTTTAGGAAAATTATAACTTATTTAGCAGGACTGCTGAGAATTGAGATTACAGCTCATCGTATCACCTTTCTCTCCACTTTGATTTTTGTTTTCCCTAAGTCCTGATTCCCTGATGTATAATTGGAGTATGTGGGAAATTCAACAATTACCCATCTTTCGAACTAATCATGGAGGCTTGTCTGTTTTTTTCACTTATTTTGTTTGCAAGGATATATTCTGCATGCAATTGTAGAAATTAGCAGCTACATTAAACACCATGAAGAGGTGTGCAGTTTGACTTTAGGGACTAGATGTGATATGTGATAATGTGTGTTTGGGATTGCCCAGTTTACTTGCTTATTTGCACTACTTTATCAGCAAGCTATTTTGCCCATGTGTTATTTTCAGTAGTTTTGCATTCTTAACTTGTAACATCTTAAACTGGCAGTGCATATAGGAGAGTTTGGATTTGCATATTCAACCATATATTTGGAAGCAAAAATCTAATTATCTGAGGTTGGATATTTCAAACATAAGAGGGAAGAGTGAGCTCCAGTGCTGTGTTAAGATGTTACAGGATATAGCAGAAGGTACAATACTTCGACACTTTTGTGAAGGGGCTAAAATTCCACAATGTTAATGGTGTCTATGCTAATCAAGCATAATAAAACCCAACTTTACATGGAATACTTGGATAAGAAACTGACTGGGAAATAAAAGGCCCCACAAATTCTCTTGATCTTAGCTTTAATACCATTGCCTTAAAATTAGCGATTGTGTGAAATGTTTCCAAATTCCACACAATTTTACATTTTAAGGCAAAGTTTCAAGGCTAAAACCATGAGAATTATATATGCTGCAGGATAACTCTTGATGCAAGTGCTTATCCTGAATTAGCTTTCTCATTCATGAACCGTAGGCAGGTTATTCTTTATTGTACATGGGTAGAACAACATGGAACTGATTGAAGCTACATCTTGTATTGAAACATATTGTATCTTCAGTGTAAGCCTTTTCCTTGTGATTCCTTCAACAGCTCAATATTACAATTGGGTGCTCCTGAAATTAAAACTAAAGTTGTAGATTTATGTATGTTCAATTCATATTCGATCATTTATTCCCCAGTGACTCCCTACCCCTGCACACTGCTGAGGTAGTGCGTGTGCACATTTGGCTGTGTTACGACCAGGTGAAAAACCCACATGGGGATGTACTGGAGGGTCAATTGGGAGAAAGTGGACTTTTCACTGCATCACCTGGCGAGTAGCAAGGATAAATGGTATTAATACCAAATGGTATTAAAGTTGCTCTGAGTAGGAGGTCTTATAGATCAATTCTAGGAACTGTCGACCTTCCTAGGAGCTGCTCTTCTAAGGCTGGTCAATAAGATTCTCCCTGAGGCACATGCACCCCATCAGTGTTCCAGAGTGCAAGTGTGGTATCTATCAACAAGGAAAGTGACCCGAGTGAGACTGAGAATTGTAGAATATGGACACTTACAACACAGAAGGAAGCCATTCAATCCATCAAGTTTCCGTTGGCTCTCAGAACCAGTTCATTCAATCGCACTGATACCAAGGAAGTATCAAAGAATTTCATTGATCAAGAAAGAGTAGGCTGTATTCTATCCTTGTGAGGAGTGAATGGTGCAAGTGGTGGCTTTATAGGAAATGGCTACACTGACTTGTTGCCCAGCAGCCTGGAGGCAGAGTTGACTTAATGGCAAGCACATCTCTTTGCCAAGTACCCTCTTCTGAGGACCTGGAGCAAGCAGCTGGTGTTGAGTAAACCTGGATCACAGCATTGGATATCAAAGTAGCTGGATATCAAAGTCAAATGCATACCATTCCACATAAATGGAATTTTTTTATGATTAGGTGGCATGCAAATGTGAAACTCTTAGTCTAGTTGGGTTTCTGTATGTGTCAAACACTTGGCTGACCGAAACAAAAGTACTGGAGGGTGGTCAATGCCCATGGAACTGAACTCCTAGGAAAAGTCAGTGCCTAGGAGAGAAAGAAGGGAGAAAATTCGGAATTTTAAAATATATATAGAATAATGAATACCAGTGAGTGAGTAGATGGCTGAGAATGAATTTAATACAAACTGTGATACAAAATGGTTCTAGCTCCAACCTGAACCCAAAAATTACAATGTTGCCTCAACTAAATATGTGGCACATATAACTTACAAAGAATGTACAGCACGGAAAGAGGTCACTGAGCCCAACCTGTCCGTGCCAGTGTTTCTATTCCCTCCCATACCCTGCCATTCCTCTCTCCATCATATTGAAGGTCATTGCACTGTCTGATTAAACATGGCTTCAGGCAGTGAGTTCCACAATGTCACCACCTCTATGTAAAGTATTTTCTCCTAAATTCTCTTTTAGATCCCTTAGTCGCTATCTCATATTTGCGGTCCCCGGTTACAGACCATTGAAAACAGCCTATTTATGTTAACCTTAACAAGTCCTTTTATAGTTTAAACACTTCTGTTGGGTACTTCTTTAAACATCTCTTTTCTAGCAAAAAAAAGCCTAACCTATTTGATTTTTTGTTCAATTCTGAGTTGTGCTGTTGTTGCCAGTGTCCCTTGTATCCATTGCATAAAGCAAAACATGATAAAGTTCTTTGCTTCCTCTTGAAATCAATAAAAACTATTTTGAATCTGCCGTTGATTACTAGGGCTCACAATATTCTGCATAAATTATAATGTAATCAGAGGCAGTAACTCTTCAGGGACATAAATAATGAGGCAGTTTTGTACACATATTTTATTAATTGAGTAGCTGTAGACAATTTATGGTTGGATGTGCAGCGATTTATAATGGGATTTGTTGGTAAGAAAACTGGAGGTCCAACACACAGATTCTCTGGAACTCTGCTCTGACACAATCTAACTAAGAACAGCCTGCACATGAGCTCTGGCACATGAACGGGGCTATACCAATGCAAGTTGTTGTGGTTCTGGACTGCATGATGTACCTTCATTTACCAGAAACATTCCTTACTTGGCTGCCTTATTAAATATTCTCATTGGATATCACTGCATATTAGATCATAATACCTTATAGGTTTCAGTCTTGTATAGCTGATCTATCGAGCAACTGATTTTTTTTGTCAGCTGGGTGTCTGACACATGCAGAAACTCATCACTATGCTTAAAAGTATCCAAATTAGACTAAGATTTCTGTCTACATCTGAGTCACCTACACATGGAAATTAACCTGAATCTCAGTTGTCTCCCTGGAGGGACTCATCCTGGGTACCTAACTCTGGAGAGTATTAGCCGCAGGTTGGCAAGAGCCAAGGCTTCGGGGCCCCAGAGTCTGTTTTGGTGTACTGCTGGAGTCTGACCAGCTAAAACTATATAGCTTGTCATTGAAAGCTCTGACTTGCAAGCTTCTGGTTGCTTGTCCAGCTAGGAAGGACTAAACCAGCTGTTAGGGCTTTGGCTTGCAGGGTTAACAGGAGTTGAGTGGCAAGAATCTCTGCTCCCAGTAACTGGTCTGCCCTTTCAAGTGCTGCCAATGAACCAGGCTGCCTGTACTGTCATCAGCTGTGCCCTGGAATACTGCAGATCCACCTGGCTCAGACTGGACTACTGAGACCACCACAGAGATATTCCGTTTGCCAAGTCTATCACTTTGAGGCAGTTCAGCTCCAAGGAGACTCAGCTTACATTCCCCTCAAGGAGGAAGGGACTATTTGATATATGTTATAAATCTTAGAGGGCGATGAGCAGATTGTTTTCTCTGATAAGTGTCTGAGTATTGTTATCTGATCTACTTTAGATTAATTTCTTTATAACATTTATTTCAAATCTTTTTATCTCTGATTTTCAGGGAAATAAACAGTTGTTGAACAACTATCCAGTCTATATCACTAGTAAACAGTGGGACGAGGCTGTGAATTCCTCTAAAAAGGACGGTCGCCGGCTTCTCCGTTATCTCATCAGATTTGTGTTTACAACAGATGAACTGAAGTATTCATGTGGACTGGGGAAAAGGAAACGATCCGTACCACTAGGGGAACAAGGCCCAGAGCGGCGGCCCCTTGATCCTGTCAAAGTGACGTGTCTCCGAGGTAGGAATTATGCAGGGCTGCAATTTTATGAGTTGCTTTAACAAGAAAGCGACAACAACTTTGTACACTTATACAGTACTTTACATGAAGGAAAACGTCCTTCTTAGAGACAGAGCGCCAGCCGGAGTAAGGTGCGAGATGGGGGGTGGCTGTTAAAGATCCCATGACACTATTCGAAAAGAGAAGAGAGGTTCTCCCTGTATCCTGACCAACAATCCCCCAAATAAAAAAAAATGGTCACTAACTTCATAGCTTTTAGTGCTGTGCACAATTGACTGCCACATTTGCCCACAAAACAAACTCATTCCACTTTACAGTATATCCTGTGAAGCACCTAGAGATGTCTCGATGACGTGATAAGGTGCTATATCAAATGCAAAGATTATTATTATTATCACTATTATTGTCACACAAGCAAACCGCATAATCCCTAAATCCTGAAAGGATTTACAATACCCAAAACACATAGCTATTAGATTACAGGTGTTCAGAAATGATGGTCCTTAATGTCAAGGTTGTACAAAAAGTAGGCAATGAATTTTACCAGCAAACGTAGAGAGCATTTTGCCTTCAGTCATCATTAGTTGCCTCAGCCAATTCCTGCTCCACACGGAGGTTGGTTGCCTTAAAGGAATCCACACCCAAAATTATTTCTTTGTATAATGGGCCAATTATTTGCCATGTAAATCATACAACAACATAATATTATGCTTTCTGCAGCTAAATTTGAGCGAGTTGTTGAGCAAGCATGTTGAAGTATCGTGGAATATTTATATTGGGAATGGATGTGTAATAATGTGGTTGGAGATAGGGTGAGCTCCGATGGCCTAGTGAGTAAAGGCAGTGGACCATATGGCCCAGGAAGTCCACAGGCTCAAAATGTGTTATGTGCTGCGTTAGCTGGTAGCATTTGTGGGGGAGACATGATAATGGCTACTTTCACAACTTACAAGATGATACCCGGAACTCACTGGGCCTCACACCAACAGAAGGAAGGAGTGAAACACCTTTAGGAAAAAAGTTGAAGGAGAAAAATTGACAAAATCAAAGACATCATGGCACCACAAAATATTTAAATTGTAGCGAGTGTGAATGGAAATGTAACCTGCAGCATGAACATTTCCAGCAGTTAGCAGTGCACCATCTGAGCAAAGGGTTCAGTAGGCTGTATCAGGCAATGTTGTTAAGTCCTTTTCAGGTCTAAGTTTACGTGCACACTTAGTGGAAACATTCCTGCCCCTACTTTGAATGTTGAATCATAGAAATTATAGCAAAAAAGGAGGCATTCAGCCTATTGAGTCTAACTTTTTGCTCTGCAGTTAAGTACCCGAATCCCAATTACCTCTTTCCCCCTATTCTCCAATAGTCATCCTCTTCAAATGTTTGTCCAATTCCCTTTAAAATACTGTTATGGTCTCACCCTCAATATAGTCAGTTTTGGCGAAGCATTTCATATAGGATTTAAGGCAGTAAAACGAAAAGCTGTGAAGGCAATACTTTGTCTTGGAACATAGATTCAGACAAAGTCAAGAAAAAAACACATTTTTATGACATTGTTATTGCAAACGTGATGCGGGATTCCTGAACCACAATTTTATTTACATGTCAGAATTACTGACAGAGCTTGATCTTTGTATTCTCTTGTAAGATTTATTTTCTTTGTTTGAATCATTTTTGTGTTTCTCTACTTCGATGTGTTTGCAGAGTTCATTCGAATGCACTGCACCTCCAATCCAGACTGGTGGATGCCTTCAGAAGAGCAAATTAACAAAGTGTTCAGTGATGCTGTTGGACATGCTCGCCAAGGACGAGCTGTGGCAACTTTCTTCAGCACCAGCAGTGGTTCATATTATGAAGGCTTTGACCATCAGATGTCCCAGGATGAAATGTTTAACAAGGGATCTCACGAAGGATCTGCAGACTGAATGGACAACAGTTCCACTGCTCCAGAACTGCCACTTTGTTGTAGAAAATGAATGTATATTAATCTATGGGTGTATTGGTGTTGACACCAACTAGATATGATACAAATTGATTTTAAATTAGAATGTTTAGCTGAAATAACATTTCCTACAGAAGATATACCAAACGTGACCTCAGAGGTTAACCTGGTGTGACTGTGATTAATTTGGTTAATATCCATTTTTCTAGACACCCCAATTGCTATCCCCAGCCTTGGGATTGAGGAATTTCACTCAATCTGCCCAATTTTAAACAATGCAATTAAATATTACATTGACAACATCCAGCCAAAGTATGCCAGAAATGGCCGTTGAACTAAAATTCCAAATTTTCATAAAGTATTATTGTGCAGAATTTATTACAACAGCTGCATACAAATTTGTTATATTCTGAAAGCTAAAATGACCAAAGTATTGAGAATATGACCATATGGGTATTTGAGCATCAACCAACTTGCATATAAACTGAAACATTTTATGGAGCTCTTATAGCTGTTCAGTTGAATTGATTTATCGAACAAGGCTTCAAAATTGGAATTGGCTTTATAGTTGTGATGGTGTTTTACACCACTTGCAGTAATATAATTTGAATTTGGCCAGCTTTTGTAGTGCATAAAAATACATATTTTCTCCAGACATTTAATACTTTCTGATTGCAATATTAATTGGTGCCTGGTAACAGTTCAGAAATGGAGCCCTCCTTTTGTGGAATTGAGAAGAAATATGATGTTTCAATTGATACCAATGACAGAAAACAAATTGCGGGCAGAAAACAAGCATTGACTTAGAATTCCTTTGAAAATGCTCCCATGCCCGCCCGGAATCTCAGATGCAGACCATGGTTATATTGCACTTTGATTGAATACCTTCTGTCCACATATACAAGTGCATTCAAGGTGAATGTTGTGGTGTGTGTGTAGTACCTGTATTAAAAGTACTTTTATCAAGCAAAATAAATTTTAAAAGGCAAACAATGATTATTTTATCCCATAGGAGGTATTTCTCATCTAAACTGACACCTGTGACGACAAAATGACAAAGCATTTCCCATTGTCAACAATGTGATTGGTTTCTCTAAACCATTGTTAATCTTTTTTAAAATCAAAAACAATTCAGTGAACACTAAATCAGAAAGGGTAGCCATCCACGCAAAGCTTCAAAACAGATGATCAATGATGGAGAGGTTATGCTACCTGACAAAAATAACTTGAAGAGAGTGGAAAAAATACTTAAGTGCAAAGGAAGAGCAGATGCAGAAGGCATTTCTCACAGATCAAATACACACTTCAGAACAGAAAAATGTACCCCCACCACTAGAATATAGTGTATCTAAAAGTGGTTCCTGCCTGACATCATGCATTGGTCCCTATATTTTAATACCTTAATTGGTAAACAGTACTTTTATTTTAAAATGCAAGAGGGCAATAATTTGAAGGAAAGTATGTTTGCAGATTTTAATAGGCAACAATATCTTATACTGCACTGGTCTGTAAATATATTGTCCTTTGTGATGAAAGTTTAAATTTAAGTTTAAAGGTCTGTAAACTTACCAACTTCTCTCTTGTTGGAACACAATGATAAAGACCTCTTTCTACCAAGGACTGATAGAAATATTATAATAGTAATCCTTGTATTTTTTTCTAGGGCCTTATCAGCACCCTGTGACATCCTCCCAACTTGAAAGGTGCTATACAAATGCAATTTGTTGGTATCACATTATTAAGACCTTACAAAGCATTCACAGGATTTTTACAATGAAGTGTAGTGGACTGTGTGTTTATAAACACAGCAGCCAATTTGTACAACAATGTTCCACAAACAAACCATGGGAAGGAATGACCAATTTCATTGGTTTTGTTTAGGCTTAAGGTTAAAGCTGGTGGTATTGTTTGTGTTAATGTTTGCAACATAACAAATAAATAATTACACAGGACAGACCTGAGGCCTGACATCAGCGATACTACTTGACCTTGTAAGAAATGGTATAGTAGTTATAAATAAGTCCAATTGCACCCATTTAAATGAAAGAGACAACAAACTACTGCCAGGTTTATTTTTGATCAGATCATTAAGATATTATTGGTGATTTTGTGCAATATTATTTCATCCCTTTTGACTAACAGATATTTCTCCCCATCTTCCCTTCTCATAGGAGTCATAGTGAAATGGTCCTTCCTGGTACTCGTGCCGTTCTGCACGTGAGTCTGCAGAGTAAGACTAACTCATTGAAATTCACAACCAACAACAACAACTTGCATGTATATAGGTCTCCTTAGGCAGAATAGCGTCCCAGAGCGCTTTGCACTTGTCTGATACTGTCGTCTGCAAAAAAAGGTTGATCCAAAATTAGAGATTATGGCTTGTTTTTCTCCTCTATATTCCAGGAGCCCTGAAGCCTATCGTACCAATCCCATCACCACACCAAGAGAGATCAACTGACTCAAAACCAATGAGAAATCAAACCTGTTCACTGTGAACCATTATTTCAATGCTTAATTTAAAACTACTTTTTTTTAAAGAAACTGTACATTTAGGGACCCGCAGCAGTGCACATTTTTTTAACCAACTCATAGTTCGGTATCTGACTACAGCTTTTGCAGTTGTTTTGCTTCCAAGTAGGCTGCTGCTTTTCAGTCACACCCGAAACTGACTTCTCCACAAGCCTGCAAGATGCATGCTAATTTGCACAGGTTGACAGGCGATTTCTGGGCAGATAACAATGCCCTAAATATTGCTCTACGTCTCTGGACTTAGGGTAAATTAAGAAATCATCACCTAAACAATGAAATGGATTTCAATAAATTTTGAAAACCAATACATCAGGCATCATCATGTTATTGACTCCACCCCTTTCCCATTTGATCACTCTTTCAGACATGTTGACCTCCCCCAAGTTAGGTAAGAAATATCACCTGTGGGATAATTTCTAAGCATTCAGGTTGAGCACTGTTTCCTGTGTCTTATGCGGCGTCAAGAGTGACTGTTCAGTGCAGTGAAAATTAAACCTATATAATAACCCGTTTTGTTGTGAAGGAGTAGTAACACGTTAGCATTTTCACAAGTGTACTTCTCTCTGTCTTTAAAAAGTGTGCACTAATTTGCAACAGAGACTTTTTGTTATACGTCAATTATCTGCTTTTTATTTTCAAAATGTGTGTATATGTCTAAATGTAGTTCCTACTTTCTCAGGTTGCTGGCTTGATACCAGCAACATACAATAAAATGTATCTACAGGTATCTATCACTGTCCTATCATGTATTTATATCAGATTCTCATTTGACATCTTAGAATCATTACATTTTATAGTTATATCATCTTAAAAGTTGTAATAAGTCACCAGCAATGCTTGTCTTCACATCTGTCCAATTAGCAGTTGTGATGAATTTTACCAATCATTTTATTGTGAAATTATGCTATTTAACTTGAACATGGAATTGAAAAGGTTTGCATTCCGCACTAGTTTTTTCCCTCCCTGTTTACTTACTTTCTTTACCTCTAATCTTCATACTCTAAGAAATTGAATAACTTTAGATTATATTGTATAAGTGACATTTGGAAAGTAAGAAGTACACGTAGAGCCTTAAAGTACCATACAATTCTCTGCTTATACAAAATACACTTTCATATCCAATTACACTCCATTGCTTTGTTGATTTAAAAAAAAGAACATTTTTCCTATTACATATCTGTTCAAGTAATTCGACTGCTTTTTAAGGGTGAATGTTATAACGTAAAACTTACTGAACTATAACATTTCTTATCTTATGGTAATCCAAGTCACTGGCAAGAAGTTATTTTATTGGATCTTTTTGATGCACAAAGCTGTGACCCCTCTTTCTAAAAGGCTAATGTGCCATTTAACAGACTCCTTCTGTGCTATTGTGAAGGCTTTGCTGCAGCTTACACTCACCTTGCACAGCTGCAGTAAATACAATATCCACCTAATGGGTTCCTGGGATGTAGAACAGACTGTTATTACCAGTTAAATTTCTTCCATCACCGCGATATAAATTTCACATTTAAAAAAATGTCTAACCTATTTTATTTGGTGCGACTTTGTACATAAAGCAACATGAATTATAAACGGATAAAATTTAACCATGTCTTGTGATTTTATTTAACCCATAGATCATATTTAACATATTCAGTACAAAGCCAAAAGCATAAATCTATTTGAACATTAATTAAATATTCTCTGCCCTACTACATCATAATTATTCTTGGCATCATTTCTGACTGTTTATTAACTACTAGAATTATGGTTATGGAGTAGAGGAGAAAAACCTGAGCAGTGGGTGCTCTGAGTTTTGGCAGATATACTTCAATAAAGATTTCTTTAAGAAATTAGTCTGCCATCCATTCTAAGATAAGTATTCCTCCACCAATCCTTGAATAATTTTAAGTATCATTTAAAGAAATGCACACAATCTAAATACGTCACTTTAAATTCTCATTTTATTTTTTAAAAAATCAATACTCCCATAGAAAACAAATAAACTCTCCACTTCCAAGTAAAACTATAGATCTAAAAAAAATTTGTAATCAGTCATAATATCATAGGGAAGGAAATATGATGGTCCAGTAAAGCTACACTGGACAGTACTGGATCTGAAGTAATAATAAATAAAAAAAAGATCCTTGCATTTGATATATTGCCTTTCATGTCAAGATAAAACCTTAAAGCACTTAAAACACTGGATTTACTATAGAATGTCGTGACCATATTTTGAAGGCAAATGCAGCAGCCAATTTGTGCACAGAAACGTCCTACAAATAGCCATTAAATGAATGATCAGTTTTAGATTTCTTTAAGAGATTAGTCTGCCATCCCCTCTCGACTCTCTACCCCCTCCTCGCTCCCTCCCTTCCTTCCCCTCACCCTGACTATTTCCCCCTCTGCTCGGGTCCCGACCCAACTGTCCAGCATCTTGGGACGGCCTCCCGACGTGAAAGGCAATCCATAAATGCAATCTTGTTGTTGTAGATGGGGGATTGCTGGCCTTGCCATCGGGGGAAACTCCCTTCTCATTTTGAATAGTGTTGTGGTATCTTAAAGTTTAACATCCACCCAAACAGGCAAATGGGGCCTTGGTTTAACATGTTATCTGAGGAACGGCTCCTCGCACAATGCAACACGCTATCAGCCGAGACCATTAGGTCAAAGCCTTGGTGGGGTTTGAAACCACAACATTCTGACTTCCAAGAAAGAACTAATCCACAGGCCTTCAACTATAACTGGCCATTTCAACTATATTAGTTATTACATCTCTCTAGAAGTAGCAGACTCAGTGAAATTGTCATTTTTCACATACAATTTTAACTAAATAGCTGGAACATAATGTTGAGATTAATCAGAATTCTTTTCAACAGCTTCACTTTTAGAAGGACACAGATGAGACTCTCTTTGTGCAAAACTGATAACCAGATGGGTAAAGTCAGCAGGAAACATTGAATGTCACACAAGAATATGCTGTATGATCTGTTATTTTTGTACAGCACCATGCCAAAATGCTATTTTTACTGAAATTATCACATTTAGACTTTAAAAGGCGTCAGCCTGGCTCGTTGGTAGCATCCTTGCCTCTGAGTTAGAAGTTTGTGAGTACAAGCTATATATCAGCACTTTGAACTCATAGCCGAGGTTGACACTTTAATGCAGTGCTAAGGGAATTCAAAATCATCAGAGGTGCTGTCTTTCAGATGAGTTGTTAAACTGAGATAATAATATTAATCCTTGCATTTGATATAGCGCTTTTCACGTCAGGAGGACGTCCCAAAGCGCTTCACAGAACACACTGTAAAGTGAATTGACTGTATATTTGTGGGCGAACACGGCAGCCAATTGCGCACAGCAATGTCCCACAAACAGTCGTAGATTGAAAATGACCAATTTATTATTGTTTTTGGTTTTGGAGGGATTATTATTAGGCTCTGTGTGGAGTAAGGAAACTTGCCAAAGGTTTCGCCCTCTGCCTGGAATTGAACTCAGGTCTCTCACTTGCAAAGCGAGTGCTCTACCACTGACCTACAGGACTCCACAAGATAAGGTCTGTCTGTCTGTTGAGATGCTAAAGATCCCAATACACAATTTGAAAAGAGAAAATAATTCCTCCCAAGTCATAGCTAACAATCCACCACATGAAAAAAATGATTATTCATTTCATGGCTATTTGTGGGAAATTACTGTGCTCACCTTCAAATACTCAGTCACTGCTTTACTGAAATTCTATGAATCACTTTGAGATGTGTAATATAGTGGGATATCAAATGCAAGGATTATTATTATTATACAAACGGCAATAGGCTTTTATATTTTGGCTTGAAAAAGAGCCTTATTTAGCAAAATGTTAATTATATCCTTCTATGTATCCTCATCCCAGCATGGCAAACTGATATTTGTGGCAAGCAGATTTCAGCATTATACAA